GGATGCCAGTCCCTGCTTGAGCAGTCCCCCAGGCAACATTGCATTCTGAGGTCTGCCTCTGGCCCCCCGCCTTGTGTCTCTCTGTGTGTCTTAGTTAGGGTTTCTATTGTTGTGATAAATACCATGACCAAAAGCAACTTGGGAAGGAAAGGAATTATTTCACCATATACTTCAGGAAACAGTCTATCACTGAAGGGAATCAGGCTAAGAACTCAAGGCAGGAAGCCACAGGCAGGAACTGCTGCAGAGGTCATGGAGTAGGAATGCTACTACTTCCTTGTTCCCCAAGACTTGCTCAGCCTGCTTTCTTATAGTGCTCAGGACCATATGACCAGGGGCCGTACTGCCTACAATGGGCCAGACCCTCCCACATCAATCACTAATTGAGAAAATGCACTACAGACTTAGGAAGGCATTCTCTCAACTGAGGGTCCCCTTTAGAGCAAATAAATCTAACCTGTGTCAAGACATGACAGTGTGGGACTGATTTCATCCTTCTGAAGTTGAGATTGTTTCCCCCATCTCCCAGGGCCTCATATTGTAGCAAGAATTCTAATTGGTCTTAATAATAAACACCCGGAGCCAGATACTGGAGAACTTGCACTACATCACATCTCATTTGGAGTTCCAGGATGTATCTCTCTATTCATCCTTGGGCTTTGGTAGGTGGTCTCACATAGGAAACCCACATCTTCCAGTTTTGCAAATTGTGTGTGTGTGTGTGTGTGTGTGTGTGTGTGTGTGTGTGTGTGTGTGTGTGTGTGTACAAGTGTGCATTGGGGGCAGAGGGGTTGCCCCTGTGTCACCCCTCAGATGCCATTTACCTTGTTTTTTTTTTAGACAAAGTCTATCACTGAGACCTTGGATCAAGCTAATCTGGCTGGCTGTCGAACCCAAAATACTGTCTCTGCCTCCCTTGGGCTGGAAATTACAAATGCATGCCTCCACACCCAGCTTTTTATATGGATGGTTGGGGGAGAACTTGGGTCCTTATGTTTCTGTGGCAAGCACTTTTTCAATGTGCTATCTCTCTGGGGTGTGAAGCTTCCTAGGGCTTCAGCCCTTCTCTTCTGCTACAGCCACCACTAGTCCCCTCCTAGATACATGCTGTCACATCCTTATCTCCTCACAGGGGTCTCCAGAAGGCTGATAGGTAGCACAGGGATCTGGTCCTTTTTAGCTAGGGGCTGAGACTAGCATTTGGTAAGTTTCCACAAAGGCCCCTTGGAGGTTTGTTGGCCCAATATGGGGGTGCCTGGAGGTGCTCCATTCTTCTGTGAAGTCGGGCATTACCAACACTGGTGGGAACCTAGGCACACCTGTGGCTTGGCACACAGCTAGCCATTCAGGGACCCATGTTGATTCCTGGAAGGAGCCCAGTCTAGTTTTCTATGAATTTTTTGGTATGGCCATCAGACCACACACAGCCTTCAGAATTTCATGATGGAGACCTCCAGGTTCCAGCTCGACCTGCAGAAGCTCTTGAGGTCGACCATTTTCTCACTTCCAAGCGGGCAGGAAGCTGCAGTTGCAGAGCCCTGAGTGGAATGGGTAGACTCCACTCAACAGCTAGCTGTGCACCAGAAAGGCCCTCCCTGCTCCAGGCCAACTCTCTTGGACAGAAGATGAGGCTAGGATGGCTGAGAAGAGGACCAGCCACAGTTGTGTTCTTCGGGAATGTGACTGCTCTCAGCGCTCTTGACTTCCAGATGCCGTGGATCCAGGCATGGGCTACCCAGCTCAAGTCAGCAGCCAGTGTCACGTAAGTTGAGAGTAACTTCTGCTCAGAGTGGCTGCTTGAGTGGACTCTACATCTGCCTGTATTAGAGGCCCCCAAAACACTGGGTGCAGCGGTCAGACATTCACCCTCACATGTGTTCCTGCAGCTGGCATCTGGACATCTCTGAATCTATGTCCTCTGGTGTATACACTTCCGTGCAAGTGCTAACTCTTAAGCAGGACTCCCAGGAAGCCCTCCCCAAGCATCCCCCCACCCCCACAAACATACAGAATTAAAATGTGGTGCTTAATAGCTAATTGGATTCCGATCCATCTGGTTTATTCTGATTTAGGGAATGGTATGGCTCACCGTTGAGCATCTTGCAATTCATAAACATTACAGAAACGCAGAGTAAACACTGATTAGAATATCTGCGAAAGCCACTAACATGTGCAGTGCGCAGCGCAGCCGTAGCCAGCCAACATCTGCTCTGGGATCCATTCCTGGCCAGCTATGAGGGACTGGAGTCCCCACCTGGGATCCTCTAGCCCTTTTCATTTAGGTCGCCTGTAAGTCCTGCTGTCAGGGCTAGTGGAAACCCAGAGCCCAGGGGCTGCAGAAGAGGAAGGAGATCCCACCCCTTGCACCATCTCTAAAAAACGATGCATCGTGGATGGGTACAAGAAAGGGTGCTGCTTCTATGGCCAAGGAGAACCTTCGGCGTTCACTAGTCACCTGGCTCAGTGCAGATGGCTGCTCACAAAGCAAAGTTTAAGGGGTAACTTCAGAGGAACCCTTAACAAACCTAGCCCAGAGCCTCGTTTATCTCCCGAGTCGTCAGGGCCACGGACTTCCCACTCTGCACAGCAACACTCGCATCTCCCACAGCACCACTATGCCTGTGCTGCTCTAAGTGGCACTCATCCCAGTGACCCGAGAGGCACTCTAGTATTTTTATGACCTTTCTTCCACTTTTTACAGGCTGATCATGAGCCAGTAAATTAATTTCATGACCCACTAATGGGGTGGTGACCCACGCTTTTGAGACACAGTGATTCCAGAAATGCGAACATCAGCATGTATCTGGGGGTCTGCACTGGGTTAATCAATGGATCCATTTATCACACATACTTAGGAGGCCCCATGAGGGGACAGGCTACAGGTTCCCCAGGACCAGTGACCTGCCCCTGAGCAGCTCCCATTCTGGTGACACACACAGAGATACAATCAGCAAGTGACACTGTGTTAGGGTTAGGGTGTCACAGTGGAGCTGGGATGCGGAGTCGGCATAGCCGGGGTACAGAGTGGAGAGGGGTCTTGGCAGAACGAAGGCCCTATCTGGGATGAGTGACACTGGAAAGGAATTAGCAGCCACTACATGGCCACCAGGCCTCTTAGAGGTAATGGTCAACAAGACTGTCATCTCGGAAAAACAATTTATGGCGACATGTGAAACCTATGCTAATTTACTCTATAAGAGGCCATGATATAAATGCATAGTAGGGACTTTAAATTGTGGTTTCTTAGTATCTGGCTTGAGAACCAACATTTTAGACAGTTAAAAACATGTGACTTTAGGCTAGAGGTTCCAATAGGAGTCGGGTCTCATCCTTTTCAACTCAAGGACACCATGTAGACAAGACTGCAGAGCTGGTCCAGCTCTTTTCTTGTCTCTGGAAGAGGTAAAGCTGGCTCAAGGGGCCCTCACACCCACCCAGTCCACTGTGGTATCCAATTGCAATTGCACACTGCCCTTACTTGCCCATCCCTTGCAAGTGTAACCCCAGCAAGTGGAGAATGCACCAAGCCTAGGACTACCTCTGGTCCCTAAAAGGACACAGGCTTGGGCGTTAAGACCCTCTCGCCTTGTCATGACTCTCCTCTGAATCATGGGGGACTATGGATATATGATTCCTTTCTTGGCGACAGTTTTCACCATTGTAGCACTTATCCAAGTGGCTGAAAGCCTGGGGTGTGGTTGGGGAGGCTGGACCTTCTACAGAAGGCCACTATGTGGCATTGGGAAAGCCATCAGCAGACCTCTGCATGGTTATGGGTGATGGGGCTCATCTCTATCTATCTATCAACTCTCACACCTATCTGTGGCCCCTGCCTGGGGGGGGGAGGTCTTGGGAACTCAGGGGGTCAACCTGCACTTGTGGTGAGCACAGGGCAGAGGCAGACATAGAATATGCTATACCTGTGGCTTCCCTCCTCCATGCATCTCTCCAGGCTCCTCAGAGCCTAAGGCTCTTCACAGCGTGCTTGCATCTACATCCACTCAGCAGCCCAACAGGTTCCCGCACTGACCCTGGACTTGTCTCAGCCTTTGCATGTTCTCAAAGAAGCCAGTGCTACGGGAACAGTCACCAGTCCAAGGAGGTTGACCCGTCTTGCCCAAGGACTTTTCACCTCTCAATTGCATATCACAAGGGATAACTGTGGGCAGTGCCCGGGCAGTGTGTGGAGCCATAACACCTCAGAAATTTCAAAGAATTGGCAATAAGAAAAAAAAAATCAAAGGACATCCTAGAGTCCTGTGCACTCAACCACCTGTGGAAAGAATGGTTCTGGAGATCAAGATAGCCATGTCCTCTAGAAAGACTCAGTGTGCCCTGCTCCATAGGATGAGGAAGGTGAGGTATTGGGAGCTTTTGGGGTCTGTTAGCTGTCACCAGATGAAATCTAGGGCAGCAGCAGAACCATGTGCAGCTCCCTCCCTTGGCCTGAATCTGGATGGCCCCCTTGGCCTCAGGTAGGGTACAGAAACTTGCCCTCAGGTTTTGAGGAGATTGATGTACCCCTACATCTCGCCTACAAAGCCGAGCAGCCTCAGTGCCAGCAATATGCATTGTATTAGCTTCACTTCCGAGATGACCGGCCCAGCGGACCAATCTAGGTGGTTCTGTGTTCTGTGGCTCGGTCCCTGGGCACCCAAAGACCAACTGATTAGGCACAGGCTCTCTGGAACTTAATGCCAGAGGGTGAGAAGAAGCTGTGACCAGGTTGGAGACACCAGCTGCCACCTGTCCCTGCTCCAGCCCATAGAATCTACATCCATCATAGGCTGTGGTGTCTGCTCACTTCTCCCCAACATGCCCATGAGAAAGGAAAGGGGCCACATACCGTGGTGGTCTTTATCCGCCCTCCGGGCTGTGTGCAAGTCCAGCCTGACCGGTTGATTAACAAGTCGCAGCCTTCCCCCTCCAGGCAAGGGAGCATGTCACACCACTGCTTTGTCTTGATAATTCGTGCTGTGGGAGAGAGGAGAGAGCTGGTCAGTGTGCCGCTCCCAACACACAGGCCTCACTGAGTGGAATGGCTGCACCCTAAAGCTGGGCCTGGCACAGTGGGTAGCCCTAAGAGCAGGTATCGTGCCATTCAGAGACATTCTGCATGGAGGCTGGCCACATACTGCCTCTCCTGGGTGTTCTATCATCAGCCTCCAACAGCAAGTAGTCACTGAGGGTGTTAGAACATCTTCAAAACAGCGTCATTCCCCTTCCTGAGGGATGAAAGTCTCATTCTTTGCTCTGTCAGAAACTGATAGCGCATGTATTAGATCTATCGAAGTGGTTGTCCATGGGACAGCTTGGGTGGGACGAGAACTCAGTGTCAGGAGTGAGGCTTGCCTGGCAGGAAGTCAGCAATTCTATAGAGACCATGACCCCCAATCACCTCTCATCTACAGACACTGGCCTGACTCAGGGCTCTGAGGCTGGCAGGCCTAAGTCTCTGTCTTGAGTCCTGGAGCCTGCAGGGTAGTGTTCTAGTGAAGAGCTGGCAGTGAGGAGGTGGTCACAGTGTTCATCAGAACAAGAATGTCACAGTCTACACAGAAGAAAATCACCCTTCTTCCTTGGAATCCCACCCAGGATTGGTGGTCAGGCCTGGCAGACAGGAAGGCTATGAGAAGCCTCTGAGGAAGAGGTCCATAATGGAGTTAGTACTCTTATTACCAGAATCTTCTATGACCCGTTCACCTTGCTAACCTCCTTCCTGAGGCAATTCTTACTATAGGTGCTTCACTCAAGAGACCCATAAACAAGGCTTGTGGTCCAAGTAAAAGCTAAGTCTTTGAGAAGGTCAGTCATGCTCAACGCGATGGGACTTAGGATCACCTAGGAGATGGTGAGGGCTTTTCCAGAAAGGGTTAGGCAAAGGGGGGTGACCTACCCTGAACACAGGCAGCACCAATACAGGGCTGAGCAACCATCACCCGAGCAAAGTAAAGAAGAAAGAGAAAGCCAGCCTAGAATGGGCATTTCGTGTCTGCCTCCTAAGACCCCTGAAACCAAGAGCTGAAATAAACTCTTCAACCTATTTCTCCTCATCACAGCAGTGAGGGAGTGATAAACACAGGTAGTCAGGCTGGACACTAGCACCCGTGGGCACTGTTGGAAGACTCAGTTATGCAGGATTCCATACCCAACTTCAACTCCAACATCAGAGACTGGAGGACACTTAGAATCTTTCATGAAAAAGAAAGAAACAAACAAACAAATCACAAAAACCTTTGGGGTCAAGGTCACAAAAGGCCAGACAAAGAATAGGGTTACGCCTCTGTTACATGCCTGTTCTGTGACCTCCATGTCTGACATACCTCTCCCCATACAGGAAGGGTCTAGCATGGACTAACTGCTCACCCATGCAGAGGTCACTGCTTCAAGTATGGGCTTGAGTTCATTTCCTTTGGACATCTAGGATGTGCACACGGAGAACCACCACATTTCCATTTGTGCCCCTTCCTGGAGCACTGCCGCACTCTGATTGGCCCCACGGCCCAGCAGGTGCAAAGAGCTGGTGGTTGAGCCTTAGGATTGGCCAACTCTGTTAGAGTCCTTCTCTGTCACCTTCACAAGACACAGCTATAGGGACCTTTCCATCCCAGGAAAGAGGGGACTACATCCCTCACCCAACTCAGCTCCATCCCTGGTCCCATACCACAACCTTTCCAACTTCTAAGCTTCCTCCCTTTTCCTAAGCTTTCTTTTCCACTTCACTATTAAAAAAAAATTGAAGCAAGAGGACTTCGGATTTGCTTAAACTAGAGGTACAATTCCACAGAAAATGTGCACTACAATTTCTCCCCAATTTCTCCCAGTGAGGGGTGACAGCTGGCAAGTAAACAGCTCTGCAAAGACATATGAGCTTGGGTGGAGTGTGCTGAGACACAGTCCTTCAGCTGGGTGATCAGTGGGTTTCACTGCCTTGAGACAGTATGTGCCCATGACTCGGCAGAGGAAGGGTACAACTGGCAATGCTCTGCTCCCCGTTCCTTGACATCTTGATTTTGAACAGGCAATCCTACAGTTACCCATTTGTCTAGGACCAGAGAACTGACTCTGGAGGCAGTGATGTTTCTGTAAAAACGTAGGCAATGGGTGGCAAAGACACGGGATAGAGCTCACACAGTAAAGGCTGAGCCCCAGGGTTACTACAAGGACCGTGTGTCTGGAGGGCCTGGGATAGTTTGGAAGACATGAAGGCGGGTATCCTAGCTGGATTGATGGCCATTTCCTAGAAGTCTTGATATACCAAGAGGGGTTCTATGATGAACTACATCCAGCAGAGCAGACAGGAGCCTTATAAGAGCGATACAGTAGAGAATGCCATGGGATATGTTGTTTGCCTCATCCCATCCCAGGGTCTTCATATCAGTTGCCAACAAAGTGGACTGTGCATCAGCCAGGATCCTAGGACAGCTCTTTTCACATTACTGTTAGAGACACACTATAAATGCATGCTGAAGCCCCTTTGCTATGGGATGATCCTTCTGTACGCTGTGAATATGTATCACTCTCATTGGCTGACAATAAAGCTTTTTGGTCTATGGCAAGGCAGGATAAGGTTAGGTGGAACAATCAAACTGTGGATTCGTATGAAAAAGGGCAGAGTAGAGAGAGATGCCAGGGAGCCACCCAAGAAGCAAGATGCTAGAGGACTGGTAAAGCCACAGGCCACGTAGCAATACATAGATTAATAGAAATGGATTAATTTAAATGTAAGAGCTAGTTAGTAAGAAGTCTGAGCTATCAGCCAAGCATTCTGTAATTATATAAGCTTTTGTGTGTTTATTTGGGACTGAGTAGTTGGGACAGAAAAACTCCACCTCCATTTACACTCCTGACCCCCGTATTTAGAGATAGGACCTTAAGAAAGCAATTGAATTCAAGCTAGACCACAAGTATGAGTTCTGATCTGGAAGGATTAGTGGTCTTATGAGGGACCCAAAGAACACCCTCCCCTCTCCCCGCTTCATAACACACTACCTGTGAGGACACAGCAAGAAGGACTCAGACATCTGCAAGCCAGAAACCAGCCCTGCCAGCACTGTGGCCTTGAACTTCCAGTCCCCAGAGTTAATGTTAAGCCACTAGGTCACCTGTCTGAGGCATTCTGCTATAGAAGCCTAAACTGATGGAGTGAGGTTTGTCCCACGCTTATCTGAAGTCAGTTATGGAGTCCCCGTGAAGAAGAGATAATGCAGGCAGCTGCTCCTTCAAGGATCTGGGAGAAAGCCATTTGGCTTCCTGGGCAATAGCTTCAAGAACAATGGCTGCCCCAGGCTGAGACCACCCCTCCCAGGCCATGGACATTCCAAAGAGCCAGGCATCAGGCCCAAGCCACACACCTGGGCTCCCACTAATCACAGCACAGGTGGCTGGTGGGCAAGCAGAGTTGGCTTGTGTCACACATCTGTCCCTGGCTGTTCATTATTTGTGCAAAGTCACCAGCAGCTGCTTCTCCCGGCCCCGATGTGTCATTTCTGGTGACAGCAAAAGATGGTATGGAATCCGTCTCAGTCGCCAACAAATACAAGCCTGAAAGCCTAAAATCAGCTGCCTGGGGATCCACACCCACACCTCAGCCCCCAAACCCCAAACTCCTGTTTGCAATGCCTGAGAACTTTCTCTCAACAAGTTGAAGTCTCTCTCTCTCTCTCTCTCTCTCTCCCTTCCTCCCTCCTTCACTCCCTCCCTCTTCCTCTCTCTCTGCCTTCAGCCACCGAGGGATGCAGGGATGGATTCAAATATGGCCGTGAGAAGTTTCCCTGCATGCACAAACCTGTCCCAATAAGCAGCTCAGAGAGGGTTTGCATGTTAGTGAGCCACAGGTTCCCGCTCACACAGTCTCTGCCTGCCTAACAGGCCAAGAACAGGACTGGGTTGCGTAGGAAGAGGAAGCCTCCAGATACGAGGAGGACAGCAGGATCAAAGGTCAACATATACATCACCCAGGGCAGGGCCCTGGGTGCACTCGGTATGGACTGGCTAGGGGAGGGTGGCAGCACCAGCAGCCAGCCCTAGCCTGCCTGTCTGCAGGACATACCAAGAATGGGTGGGCTTTGGGAGTGGAGAACGGTTGGTGGGCTAAAGGAAGTGGGGTCTGAGTACAGGTCCCATCCTATCTTGTATCAAGGACACCTTCCTGCAACACACATGGGGCTCCTAAGCCTCCTCTACCTGTGAACACTTTGTGAGAAGTGGGACGAGGGATACAGCATGCAGTCTTCTGTCACTGGGGAAAGCCCATACACAGCAAGACAACATACACAGATGTGCACAGGCCAGGAAGGGAGTGACCAGGTTCTGCTGGCCTTAGGTTATGGAAGGGAACATAGTACCTATCCAGACCACATGACATACACATCCTCACGAACACACCTGTGTGCAAACACGGGTGTGCATATAGAATACATGAACACAAACATAAGCACATGGCACATACCTCACATGGTGTAAGCACAACAGCATGCAATATAAAGAAATCTATGTGGACATACATGCAAGCAGAGCACACGTTCATACATGTACTCACATGTATAAACCTAGGACACCTACCCACATGTACCTGCATCACACATAGTCACACACTGCACACACATGTATAAATCCTCACATACACATACCATAAATACTCACACATGTAAACAATGACATATATACATTTACACAGGTAGGTAACTAAAACACACATAAACACACACATGTATATACACCACACTACACATGTATACATATATCATGTACAAGTGCACACAGGTACACACATATGCTTACACATGCACTCACTGCACATACACAAGCACACACTCACACAGATGTACGCACCGTGCATCTCAAACATGGCATATCTACACATGTACAAACAAGAGGTACACAGATGCACATACCACTCACTACACAATGTACACTGTAAATATATACACACACTCAGACACCACACATGTCACACATGCACACACCCACATGTATGCACTCTATGAATACTCATGCACGTACATATCCACACATATGCAAACCCACACGTGTGTGCAAGGATACAAGCACACACAGCCAGGCCGTGTTGTGGGCTGGTCTGTAGCAGCACACAGACAAGCAGAGCCTGGGCATACCCAGGGACCAAGCCCCCGAGGACACTGGAACAGCACTGCACACACAGGTCCTTTTGTTTGCTTGCTGGAACTCAGCTCACCCAGCCCAGCCTACTTCCTGCTGGAGGCGGTGGGAGACACAGTGCCGGGCCAGCACCGGGCTACCACATCCTTGGGACAAAGGGGCCTTTCATGCCTCCACTTCACAACTTCATCTCACCCAGAGTATGGGCTGAGCTGGTCCTTCTCTGGCCCTGCTGGCACAAAGCGTCTCAGCACAGGGGAAGGACGTCCACAGGGGCAGATGGACACTCCTGAGGTGGCCAGTGGCCTGAGTTTGGGCAGACAGCTGCCACAGCCTGAACATATGATGACCACTGGGGTCCCTCGGCCTGTGGCAGTCAGGAAATGGGGTCTTGTGTATCCCAGGTTCCTGGAAGAAAGTGGATAGTCTAAAAAGATGGAGAGAGAGCAAGTATGTGAGCTCCAGCTTGGGAAGAAGAAGAGGCTGCACTTGAGAGGGAGAAGAACATTCCAGAGCCTGAGTCTTCCACAGGGCTGCAGAGTAGGACCCAGAGACATTGCCACAACCAACTCCATATACATGCTTCCCCAAAGGTAGCATGGTGGACTGCGAGTAGTTCCTCTTCACAGTTACTGTCTGCATCACACACATACACATTTGTGTAGACAGCGTATCCATCCCCAGCACACACACACACACACACACACACACACACACACACACACACACACGGCAACATCCACATGCCCATACCATAGGGCTGCACACACCTGCACTACAACATGCTGTTCACAAGCACACCGCACACATCTCTATCACACATACGCAAATAAAGAGCACACACACACATACCACTCACATGCACATCTCAAGGAGTGCAAAAACTCACCCACCCCCCCCCAGTTCCACACAGACCCATACCAACGTCCACAGCAGACAGGCCCATAGGGCCAGGATCTCAGGCAGTGTTCTGAGGACAGTGGAGCAGCTTGCTCCCTTCACTACGCCTCTCTTGTGGACACATTGGCTGGTATGACAGAATCTTGTCCCAGATGTCCCAAGACCCAGTAGGAAGCAGCTGCTGGAGCCCAGACCCTGGTCTGACAGGTGAAGAATAAGAACCCTGCAGGCAGAATGCAGAGAACAAAGCAAAGGTATAGGGGGCCTGGGGCCTTTTGGGACTAGGGTGGGTCACAGTCCTGAAGGCTCCTGGGCAATCTGCCACAGCCTGGCAACCTTACATGGAGTTGAAAGCAGCTGTTTAGCTGGCAGAAGCTCAGGCAGAGGGTAGAGTTTGGACAAAGGACCACAAAGTCGGGGGAGAAACCGATCGGAGGGGAATGAATGCTCTCCCCAGGGTGGTGCTCAGAAAAAGAGGGCCTTGTGGGCTAGAGGGCTCAGGCTCTCTTGTGCCGATAGGTCAGGCTGGGAGGACCTCAGAGCAACAGGTCTGTCACCTGAGCAAAGAGCCGATATGTTTCTGTCTGCCCCAATCTGTGGACCTTCTTGGCAGGACTGTCATACACCACCATGTGGCTTCCAGTAGGGGCAGCCAGTCACCTTAGTTCACTTTGCTACAAAATGATTTGATATTCTGTTTGCTAAAAGAAACCCAAAGCCAGCTAATATCCCTCACTTTCCTGGCCGAGTCCTCTGCTGTGCCAGCTCAGGCACATCTTCGATGCTCCCAGGGAAGTGGAGCTTGCAAGCTCATTCCTGTAACCAACGAAGGTACTGTACAACTTTCTCTAAGCACAGGAGCCCATGATGATACACTATGTTTGGGGAGATCAAGCCATAAGCAGACCTTGCTTTCTGCACTTCAGGCAAGGCTTGGCCAGGTATGTTACAACCCCAGCCCTGGGGTTACTCCTCAACTGCATGGCAACCCGATACCCCCATAAACAACACTTGGTAACTGCTGCCCAGCTGTGAGACCCATTGACTGCAGTCAAACTCCTAAACTCATCTCTGAGCAAGAGAGAGAGAGAGAGAGAGAGAGAGAGAGAGAGAGAGAGAGAGAGAGAGAGAGAGAGAGAGAGAGAGAGAGAGAGAGAGAGATCCACTGGAAATGGCCATCATGAACAGGCAAAGCCTCACACCTGGGGCCATGAATGTTCTGTGGCCTTCCTCTACATATGGGTCCTTGGAGGAGATTCTTTGGCCCTGGCTGTTCTCATCATAGGAAGACAAGGAGAGTCACATGAACTGTGGGCTTTCTCCCAGGTCTCCTTTGCTAGAAAACTCAGACCAAGATTCAGGAGGCAAGCCTTCTCTTGACTGTCTTTTCTTGGTATGTGTCTTATCAACAGGGATCCAGGACTAGAATATAATACAGGCCACAGGAATATGAAGTAAGAATTCAGCCTATTATGGCAAAGCTATTACCTGGAAGAATCAAGGAATTCTTCCAGAGGAAGCTAAGTCTCAAGGAGTATTTGGTGTTATTTGGCTTTTAATATATCAGCTGTTTTTTGCTATGAATTTCATGTGTGCTCTCATAGCTTCCCCCAAAACTTCTAAACAGTGTGGACTGATCATTCCTTGGGCATACACAATGAAGGTATTTGGATACAGTCATGCAGGCAAAGCTTCTTGCTTCCAGGCTTTCTGCTCCTTTTTAGCATTAGAATTAGGCAAGCTTCCAGGGCCAGGGCCAGCTCTGGACAAAGCATCCAAGGGTAAGCGGCAGACCGAATAGCTGGTCCGACCACCCGCAAGTCTCTTGAATTAAGGTGAACACCCATATGGAGACATTGCCTAGGCCAGGTGGATGTTAGGTACATAGCTTTGCTTCTTGTGTAAATTAAGCTCAGACCTCCCCTTCTCTCACAGCCCAAGTGGCCTCCTACAGCAACTTACTTAGCACAAAGGGTTTTTTTTTTTTTCATACCAGGTGCTTGAAACTGTGATGCAAGTTACCTAGCTATTGTGTGCTCCTCCCCCTCCCTGCCAGAAAACGGCAACATAGAAAAAAAAAAGGGGGGCAGTTTTATTTTAGTGATTTACACTCTTTTACCTAACCACCTTTAAGATTGTAGTTTGAGCACATTTATGATAAACTTGTAATGTTTCCCCTAACCACTTACAAGACTATATTTTGGGTACATTAATTTCCTTTCAGACTTATTCCAGGCCTTATTTGACCCCACCTCCTTTATTCACTACCTTTTTGGGTTGCAAATGAAGCTGACTATCACTGCTCCTTATGGGGACCTCGAAAGTTTCGCACTGTATTGTAAAAGAGTGACTGCTTGCAAGGTTGTGGACCGGTTTCACGAGAGGAGTGGCAAATTTTGGTAACAGAACAGAGTGAATGGAATGAAGAGCTCGGTGTGCTTAGATTCATTCCCTTAGATTATTCTTGCCATTGGTAGTGTCTCTTCTGGTAACCCTGGGAAGAAGACAATTAAAGGTTGGACCCCAATTGTCCTTGATAAGAATATGTGCAGTATTTTCTTTGTGGTCTGGAGGGGTCAGTTCTGTTCTTTGATGGTTGATCTTGACTGTCTACTTGATGGGCTTTAGGATTACCATGGAAACAAGTCTGTGGGAATGTCTATAAAGCATATCTAGACTGGGTTAACTGAAGTAGGAAGATCTACCTGGAATGTATGAGGTACCATGTGTAGGCTGGGGTCTGGGCTGTGATAAACAAACAAACAAACAAACAAACAAAAACAGAGAGAAAAAAGATGAGTACCAATTTTCATTGCTGCTCCCTGGCATTGGATGCAATGTCACCTGAGTACCAATACTCATCACTGCTCCCTGACTTTGGATACAATGTGACCTGAGTACCAACACTCATTGCTGACCCCTGACTTCGGATGCAATGTGACTAGCTGTCTCAACACTCCTGCCATCATGCCTTCCTGACCATGATGGACTGCAACCCTCACACTGTGAGCCAAAAGAAACCCTTTCTCCCTCAACTTGCCTCTTGTCAGGCATTTGTTTACAGCAAGGAGCAAAGTAGCTAACACAAGCTCCCCGTACTATCCACCAGCCTGTTTCCCATGAGTACCCATGTGCGTCCATGCATTCAAATGGAGCAGAGGTTCCCCTTTGAGCCCCACAGGAAAGGCAGCGTGGCACAGCTCTGGGAAAGGCTGATGCCAACCTGCAGCAACAACAGCTAGCACCATGCACGGCTGGCTTTCTGCCTCCCACTCCCTGCCTTGCAGCAGCTCATTGGCACTAAGCACGGCAGTAAATAAGCGATGAAGATGCTGTTCCTGGGCCCTGCAGTAATTGGATTACTCCCATTTAAAGCAGCGCCCTGTCAGGCTGCAAGGCAGAGCTGTTGGCATGGGAAGGCGACAGCTTAAACGAGTTATCAAAAACCCGCTATTAAACATGCCTTCTGGGATGGCTCTGGGTTAAATGGAAGGTGTGATCACAACAAACAAAGCCACTGTTATTAGCACCGTTCAGGCAGCTGCCCTTACGTATGTGTGAACTGGCATCCCCTGAATGAACACAGAAGCCATTTGAGTACCAGCAGGTAGTTCTTGTACCCTGGAGTCTACTCCCTGAGCTGTGGCTCTGGGAAACACCTGCCCCGTAAAATTAATGCTGCAAATTTCAATTTTATTGGTTTTGCAGTTTTGTTTGTGTTTAATTGTAAATGGGCTTTGGTTTATTCCTACTCTACAGTCTGGGAGGGCTTAGCTTGGCTTGAGCTCATATTCCTACAACATTATAATAAAAACGACACAGCTCAGCAGCAGCTGTGGGGGAGCCGCCCTTCCAAGGACATTCTACATTGTTTGAGGCTAAGGAATGTTCCTGTCTGACCATTACCAGGCCACAGAGAGCTGGTCACTGGAGCAGGAGGCACAGCTGGGGTGGGGCTTATCTGGAGAGAAGCCTGATCTGCCCCAGGGCAGGGCCAAAGGCTCTCCCAGTTAGTGGGGACACAGCCCTACCATGTACTGGGCTCCTTCAGGAGCCCAATTAAGAAGTAGCTCTGCTTAGCAGAGAGCTGAGGTGCTCACACTGGGCCCAAAAACCTCTGAGGAGGCTTACCTCCAGTCCCCAGACACATAGCCATTGCTTTCCTCCTACAGGTCTGGCCTCATCCTGCTGGAATTCCAGCAGAGACACATAAGCAGATGCTGGGCCCAGTGATGAGATGTTAGGTAGAATCAAGAAACAGCTTTGTACCCCACGGTCAGGGGTCCATGCTGGATCACATAGATTCTGACAGCCCAGTGGTTGTTTTAGTCCCTTTGGAGGAAGGGCATCCTGTCACCTGCAGTCTCAAGCAGTAATCAGATACTGGTTCCAGGTAATCAAGGCAGAGAACTTGATTGAGTATTAATTTACTCCGCTCACAGGTGGGCCTGGTCAGCTGCCTCTCCTTTATCCAAGCAGGCCTGGGAAGAGATATGCACAAGGGTGCCATGTTGAGCCTGGAGTCCC